GACCCATTCTTTCCATTGGGATCTCACTTGCGGAGATCTTTCATTTAGGTTTTTTTTTTTCCCCCAGAGTGTCTTGGCTTTCCATGCCTGAAATACTCTCATGGGCATTTCAGCCGGATCTGCATGCCTTAAGGGCTGATTATGAGGCTAGAGTGCTGTTAGGACATTTGCCATTCTATGGGTCTGCTGTGTATCTCACTTCCCATGTTGGATCATTCTCTCCCTTTTTTATTCTATCAGCTAGTATTTGCAGACACTATTCTTGTTTATGTGATCCCTTTGGTTCTTAGTCCTATCGTTACGATCAATTGTGAACAGAAATTGATCACTGGGACTAGTGAGATGGCATTGGTACATGCCACCTCGATGGGATTGAATTCGAATCCCCTGGTATGTTTCTAACTCTACTGTTTGAGGTAAGTCAGCTTGAGCATGTCCCAAATTGCACATCTCTTTTAGGTCATTAATTTGGAATAATTTTTTTTATTTTTTATTTTTTATTTTTTGACAGGCAGAGTGGACAGTGAGAGAGAGAGAGAGAGAAAGGTCTTCCTTCTTGCCATTGGTTCACCCTCCAATGGCCGCGTCCAATGGCCGTCGCGGCCGGCGCGCTGCGGCCCGGCGCACCGCGCTGATCCGATGGGCAGGAGCCAGGTGCTTCTCCTGGTCTCCCATGGGGTGCAGGGCCCAAAGCACTTGGGACATCCTCCACTGCACTCCCTGGCCACAGCAGAGAGCTGGCCTGGAAGAGGGGCAACCGGGACAGAATCCGGTGCCCCGACTGGGACTAGAACCCGGTGTTGAGCCACGGCGCCAGCCAGGATTGGATTTTTTACTCCAGTATGACTCTAGCTCCCCACCAGTGGAGACTCTGGGGTGCAGCCCTGACAGTTCCCGTCACTCACACCCAATAGCGTCTGACTCTATTTTTTCACCGTGGGGCTTTCTAACAATTCCCCACACATGGATGTCAGGGAGCCAAGCACTTGAAACCTCACCTGCTGCCTCCCAGGGCATGCCTCTGCACAAAGCTTGAATCAGAGGAGACTCAGGAATCGAACCCATGCTCCACTGCATGAGACGGGAGCGCCCCATGCCGAAAACTCTAACCGTTGATCCGAACGCCCACCACACATTATGTCTTCAAGTTTTAAGATTCATTTATTTATTTCTGAATCGGAAAGGTAAAGTGTGTGTGGGGTGGAGGGAGGTAGAGAGAAACACAGAGAGAGAGAGATTGATTCCATCTGCTGGTTTCACTCCCCGCCTCTTCAAACTACAGCTCTCTAC